TAGTCTTTTGGATGCCGCTTGGAAACAACTTTATCAAGTTCAACAACATACCACTATTTTGTTAGGCCCATCAAATGCCGGCAAGACGACAATACTTGAAAGGCTAAAGATCCTTTTTGCTGAAACTGAGAACCACAAACAACTGCCCAAGGTTCGGCCGACAATTGGTCTCAACGTAGCCAACTTGAAAGTCTCTTCTACTTACTTTCTTCTTTGGGATTTTGGAGGAAAGGAATCGTTGAGACCTATCTGGGAAAAGTATGTAACCGACGCTGAAACGGTCGTTTATGTGATAGACTCTTCTTCAGAAGAGACTGTAAACGATTCCAAGAAACTTCTTAAAGAGTTGCTTGAACGTACAGATCTAGTAAAAGTCCCGTTTCTAATTTATGTGAACAAGCAAGATCTTCCTGGAGCTCTATCACTCCTCCAAGTGGTAGACAAGCTTGACCTACCGTTCGAAGTGGATAGATTACGTTGGTTCCAAAACTGTTCTGCAATTCAAGGTTACGGTATTAAGGAAGGTTTTGAGTGGCTTGAACGACATTTAGTGGCAAAACCTCAAAAGCTATCCGATCATAATATAGTAAAAGTTGCCAAACCAAAACCCAGCTATCTTAGCGAGCAGTGAATTAAAAAAATTTTTGAACAATACGAAAAAAACATTTCTTCTTGCAGTTTTCTAACTTGTTGTATTGTTGGCTGTGTATCTAAACCGCACAGCAACTTGGCTGTATAAACTTATAGTGGTTCAGAAGTGGAAGTTTAGAGATCTCTGAAGAAAGAATTATTTATATAAAGCTCAAATTTTTAAAAAAGGAATAATCAAAAATTAAAGTCATGGTCTAGTTTAAAATATAAATTAGGCCAAACTACAAAAAATTTACTCCAAATTGAAATCGGATTAAATGTAATATTAAATTAAATTTAAAATATATTTCTAAAATTATCTCTTTGATTAACAATGAATATTAAAAACTTTCCAAAAAGTAAAAATTGCAGTTTTGCGGAGTGTTACATAAAATGTAACAGTAAAAAGTAAAGCAATTTTTACGTTTTTAAAAAAAATTAACATGACTTAGATTTCGAATTTATATCTGTTACCTATTTTTCCACCAATCCTTCGCAAAAGTTTGGGAAACAAGTAATGGAAACAATATGGACGCGTCTCCAAATACTTTTACAGGGCTTCCTCCACTTCTGATTTTTCCCCATGAAATAGCTTCTTCAGGTGAAGCCCCACTGTCACTTCCGTCGTATTCCTGCGCTGTATTCACTAACACTGAAAAATCAGCGCCATTTCTCATTAAATTTGCATTAAAAGTATGATGTTTGGCTACTCCTCCACCCAGTACTATCATTCCGGTTTTCTTAGCATGAATTGCGATTTTATTCAACTTTCTGATATCTGCAACTAAATCTATTTCGAGTCCAGGTTTTTTATAGGTATGAAAGAAAAGCATATCTCCCATCGAACCATCGGTCAAAGCTGGACAGAACACTGGTATTTGATTCTTTGCAGCCCAATAATATATAGAAGAAGGATCCTCAATCCTTTCTCCCAGTCTCTGAATAAAGGAGGACGGTGTCCATTTCATTTCACTTTGCTGATCTACCATGTCGTCCAAAATAGGAAGCAACCACTTTTCAAAACGACAGTAGTTTTCATTTGGTACAAGTAAATTTCCTATTCTATTTAGCCCATTTTGTCGCAGCTCTGCACCGCTCAAGTTGAAACTACCTAAAATCGTTGGCGCAAAGCATTTGATAAGATCTTCTTCGACTCCACCAGCAGTCGTAACCAGGACATCCACCTAAGCGTCGAGTAAAGTTTTCAGAATAAAACACCGTCCATTTTTTTTCTTACATATTTATGTTCAACTAGAAAGCGAATGCTTTCTCTAACTCCACAAGAAACCATATTAGAAGTATAACCCAGAAAAATAGTACATTCAGGTGGACAGGTATTCTGATCGACGACAGATGTCTGTTGGTTTGAGTGACGACAACTCAACTAGGAAAACTATGATGAGTCAAGTAAGGAAATGACTGACGAAGAGTCTCACCATGCGATTGATTTCCTGTGTCGCCAGAGCAAAGTTGGTGGCTTGAAATCCAGTTTGTAGGAAGGAACTAAACAGCTGGTCATACTGTATGCCCTGATTGAAGTCGTAGCCTTTGACAGTTTCTCTTTCAATCGGATGAGAAGAAGAACTTTTCAACACATTTTCGATAACAAAGTTGGGCAGATGATCCTTGTTCTCCATCCTTGTCTTCAATAGAGACAATAGAAAAGTGAAAAATTGATTTGGGCATAGTGTTCGATCATCATGGAAGAACAAGAAAGCGTGTTGGAAAAGGACTGTTTTATGCAAACTTCCAAAGGCATGTTGTATGGTTTAGCTGCTGGTGTCACTTATGGTGTCATATACAACTTTGTTTCCGAGTTTGAAAACGATCTTCGAGAGAAAGCTTTGGAACGATACGGTCACTTGGTTCAGAGGTTTAGCAAGCCACCTGTGCAGTTCAATGTGAGATAAAAACTCGTTGTTGGTTTTCTTTTGATGATGTGTGTGTGTGTGTGTATGTGTGTGATGATAGGCTGTTTCTAATCTTGCACGTTATTCTCTAGTGGGTGCGTCCACTGGGGCGCTGCTTTTAGGAGGCTCTTGTGTGGTGGCACACTTACGAAACAAGGAAAGTTTTTTCAATGGTTTGATAGCTAGTGGTTTAGCTGGCATTCCCTTTGCCATCAACAGTAAGTTTTGTGTGTGTATTTGTTGTTTCTCATTCCCTTTTGTAAGGTGGAGTGGTACGAAATGGGTTTTATGCAAGCGGATTTTTGGCGCTTTGTCATACACTATTATCTCTTCAAGGAGGTCGATTGGTGGTGAATAACGGTGAAACCGGTAAGATGTTTTAAATGGATGTCCATAATACAAAAGCACACTCATCTCCTATCTGTATTCAGTATTCAAATATGAACCCAAATAAGGGAGTCAAAACGATGAGACACTGTCCGTGCGTGTCCATTAGAGAAAGGTTTGCTATGTCAATCTTTTCCAGTGTTCCCATAAATATGGCATTTGATGTAGACAACGTTGTATTTGCCATTTTGTCTCCGCTTGGGCTATGGCTTGTCGATTGCTTTCTTCTTGTTGTTGTATTCTTTTTTTCAAACCACGGTAACAATTCAAGTTGCCAAGTTGATTGCTGGGTTCGATAAGCAAACGCAAAACACAACGCCACAAGTGATACATCTTCACATTGAGGTGTTGCCAATTTTCTCAAAATGGAACAAGCACAAGACAATGCCATCGGATTGGATGCCAATCGAATGGCTTCGAAATAACATGATAAGATAGCATCCAGTTGTTCCATCTTACCATTCCATTTTCTTTCTCTCCACATCCCAAGTAATAGCCATGCAGTATCATTGCAAGGATCTCTTCTCAAGGCATCTTGTATGAATGCGTAGGCAATCGCTTCATCCAACGGTAACCACAAGGCAGCAAAGAAAAGAGACACAAGTACATGAGAATAACGTTTGTTGGCAGGTAGTTTACCAAGCAATGATAAAGTAGAAAGAAAAAGGTCTCGTGTCGAATTCATCTCCTCCTTTGTGGCCAATAATAAACAAGATGTAAAACTAACAAACAACAAATGTTTGGGAAGCAGGGATTGCCTACAACTATGTATCAAACGGATAGCTAATTGAGATAGATTACGAGGATGATTGAGAAGAGATGAATGTTGTTGAGGAAATAGAACCAACCATAAACTGATCCAAGCCCAATACATATAGTTGTTGATATGATGAGGATATCGATGTAACAATCTTCCTATTATGCGAATACTTTGTTTCACTTCACTGTCCATGATGTTGTGAGGAGACCTTGTCTGAAAATATAACTTTGTACATAAAGCTATCCCCAAGTGGTCGATCAAAGCCAAGTCCGTCCAAGCATTTTGCAAAGAGAAACAAGAAATAGCCTTGTCCAAAGTATTCAATGCTCTTTGATAAAGACCATTGGATCCAAATTGGGAAACAGCTTGTTTGAAATACACTTGTCCTAAAGTACATTTCCATGATGAAGATAATGAAGCATTTTGGTCGTTGGCTATGGATTCCAGTTCTTCCACAGCTTCCTCCAATCGATTCAATAAAGCCAATAATCGTCCCTTTTTGACACGATAACTAAGTTGTCGGTGATAAATCATTTCCAATTGTGGTTGTGTCCATAAAGATTGTTGGCAAGTCTTTTCTAGTGATGCCAATCCCCGAGTACAACTAGCTAAAGCAGCAGACAATCTTCCATCAGCAGCATAAGCATCGCAAAGACCTAACCAAGCAGTACTTTCCATACATTGAGACTGTAAAATGGACATCGTATCTTGTAATAATGGCTCCAAATAGATGAATAAATCGCCATCTTCATCAAATGCTTTCCTTTCATCCTTTCTCATATATCTTAATCCTGTTTGGAAGTAACTAGATGGAGTGGTGGGAAGACTCCAATTCTTCCCGAGAGATAATTGGAAACTACCTAGAAGAATATATGGCCAAGCCATGTTACAAGAGGCATCAGATGTCAATTGCTGTAACAGTTGTTGTGCCAATTGGATTTGTTGTGTCTTACTATACAATCGAAATAGTCTCCAACTTGCAAACTGATGTTGATGAGATAATAAAAGACATCTTTGATAGCACTTGATAGCCCTATTTTGATATACAACAACTGAAGAAGAAGAGACATCCAAAGATAGATATTCAAATAAGAATCCCAACAACGCAAAAGGGAGTTGATAAAAAGCATCATTCTGAGTTGCCTGAATCAATCGTTTTTCAGCCCATTCCAATTCCTTCGTATAGTACAAATCATGAAAAGCCAATAAACATAAGGTTCGACTTTTTTCTCGTTGATCATCTATGTGCAATGCTTTGCGAATAGAATGAAAACAATTCATCAATATATCATTTGATTGTTCTTCCAAAGGTAATGATAGAGCAATATTCCAGTCTTTGATAGCAGCCAAAGGGTTCTTTTCTTGAAACCAATGTTGCTTTCCTATTTCATTCCATTCCCATCGACAAGCATCACAGTGTCGTTTCTTCATGAGGATCCATTCTAGTCTTTGCCAATCTTGTTCAAAGTATGCAAAACGATATTTCTGTAACCACTTCCAATCCTCATCTTGTTCATTATTCTCCAATTGATTGGAGTTATAAAAGCATCGCACCCAACGAAATAGATATTCTATATGACCTAAACTACAAAGACGATATTTTCTTGTCTCTTCTATAAATGCAATGGCTTCCTTACAACACGAACGAATGGACTCAATAGATATATTTTCTGGATGACTCAATATACGAAGCAAATGGATAAGAAAATGAATAACATCTCCAGCACAAGTCTTGGGTGATGGTTTTGAAGGAATAGATGAAAAGAAGAATGGCATATGATACTTTTGTGAAGCAACATAATAAAAACTCATGAGAAGCAAATAAGCATATGAAATGGGATAATGCCAAGGATGCATTCTTATTACTCTTTGACCAATCCTTCTTATTTGTTGAACTAGAGTCTGATTGGGTCGATGTATAAAATCATCCAAATAACATTCCAATGCCATATCCAAGAAGAAACAAGTATATCGATTAGGATCATGAAAACGATATAAGCATTCCCATTGTTGCATTTTATGGCTTTGTTCTTCTGCTTCTATTCCAGTCTTGTCATTCATTCTCGAGATAGATTGTAACATAAGTTGCAGTTTCTGTCTATTCACCAACTTTTGAAGATCTTCAAGCGTCCATGGAACAGATGAATAATTCTGACCCAAAAATATCACCAATTGATTCAATTCTTCACATAAACCTCGGTAACAACGATCGATTGCCATCTGATGAGCTACGGATAGCAATGCAAACCAAGGACAATGAGAGAACCATTCACTGCAACACGCTGTTGTAGCTCCTTCACAAACTATTTCTTCCACCAAATAAAAACAACGAAAAGCTTGCAATAACTTTTCCATAGTTTCCTCCTTTTCTGTGCTTTGAGTGGCCAATTGTTTCCATAAAAGCCACTTTCATAGGCTCTCTCTGAGTGAC